TTCATTTATATAAATGTTAGATCCTTTAAGCTTCTTTGCTTGTTGCAGTATGTGTGCCTTATCTTTCTCTTTCATCAACTTTACCATCACCGCCCTCGGCCCCCGCTCAGAAGGTTTCCCGACTCTGTGAGCCCGCTCCATCTCAGTTTCTTGATGAATTTGTAGTTTATCCTTTAGTATTTCCTTCACCTTACATTCCGCTTCCGTCCAGCTTTCTCCAGCTGACTCCTTGATTCCCTCGAAGATCAGGTTTTTTCGCTTGGACTGTACTTCCAAATGCTCCATTTTATCCGTTATGGCTATTAAACTCTCACAAGTTTTGTAGACATCATCCCTTGTTTCCTTGGTTTGTATTTTCTTATCACCCATGGCTGCTTTAATCACATCCACATATCGTTGGGTAAACTGCAAACTGGTTTTTATCTCCTGTATTTCTCTGGTGATGTCGTCGAGTCTCTTGTTATTTGTCTCCATAAGTAGTTGCACAAAACCTTTGAAGTTGTCTTGTTGTTGGCTCAACAGTGCGGTGTACATCTGCTTCTGCTGACTCAACATCTCTGTTACTTGCGCCGCTGAAATATAATCCTCTTCTGCTTCAACATCCTCGTTCGCTTCTGATTTATTAGCTCTTTTCCCTCTTGGAGGCATTTTAATAGTTGTAGAATTTGTTCAAAGACTTGAAAATGTAGAAGATGTGAAAAATCGTAGAACAGACAAGAGGAGCAGTAAAGGCGTCTGCTCTCGCTTGCAACCCGGAAGTCCACGAAGATTCCACTGAAGCTTCAGCCATCCAGGCTGAAGGTCCTTCTCCTCTCTTAAATACCTGACTTAACCCTTTCCTGTGGGACAATTCATTTCTTGTTTCTTTTGAGTTTCACTATTGTGTGTGTAAGTGAGGGAGACAAAGAAAGAAAAGGACTGAGAAAATAATGTGACAACCAAGAACAAAAAAGACAATAGAAATCCTCAGAGGTAATGAAATTTTGCTGGTGCTAATTTAGGGATTAAGGAATAATAATAAGTGATGTAAAATCCCTTCTCTTTCCGTGTGTGTGTTTTTGTGTGTGTGTGTGTGTGTGTAGCATCCCCATGGCAAATGATTGGGCCAGAGGTGCTTCTGATCTATGGTGGTGGGGGCTGGAGAGTACTGTGTAATCCCA